TTGTTTTTGGTGGTAGGTTCTATGTCTAGGGGCACTTTGGGAGTCAAATGAGTTTTCTTGAGCATGGGATTTATTACCATTCTCATGAAATTCCTTTGCTTTCTTTGGGTTTTGGGACTTATGATTGAAAATTTTCATCCTTGTGGTTTAATTTTTTATTTTTTGTTAAATTGAGTAAATGGATTTATCGATCTCATCCTTTTCTATCCTTTGGCATCATAAATCTACAGATTTAGTGTAGAAATCAAGACATACAAGGAGATATAAATTGCATGCTAATAGGATTATGTTTAATTATGTTATACATTCTTTAGAAGCCATCATTTTCCATAAATCTTTATGGAGCCTGATAGCTCCACTCCTATGGTTTTTAGTGAGCTCTTTCTTGGTTGATTTGGTTCATTTATTTAACAAATTCTCATCATTTTTCTATTGTTGAGGGTTTAAGCAATTCTTTTTTTTTGTCTTGCAGTTTCTAAGAAAATTTTATTGGATTTTTTTTTTTAATTCCTAGAAGGAAATTTGTCTTTATCTCATGAATTTTTGTATTGTGTGTTGAGAGATTTAACATCATTTTTCTTTTGACATATATTATTCCTTTATTCCAAGCTCAAAGGTGATTCTCTCAGTTGCAAGGTGAACTAAATTTTCAGTAGTGCATCTCAAATAACAAGTTTTATTTCTCAATCACAAATTCAAAGAGTGGGCATTTAGATCTCAACATGGACCAGCTAATAATTGATTTTCTCTAGCATACTGTAAATTTATCTATGTTTAATCTTATTTTAGGGTTTCTCCCAAAGGATGACATTGACAATTTTGCTTAGTATTGTGCTTGCAATTATATCTAGACTTGAGATATTGTAGCGCACGTGGTTTTGACCCTTTATCCTATGGCGATTTACCATAGGATAACACCACGAAGCGGAACCTAAACCCTCTTTGTGCCACATGTCACATGCCACGTGTCCATGCCACGTGTCCACAGGAACCCGAGGTTCAGGGCCTTGGGCCACTGAACGAAGGAACGGTGCCAAATTCCCAAGCATGGAGCCGAGGAGTGACAGAACCGAATCACGGAGCAACTCCCGAGCATGAAGCCCAAGGAGCGAAGGGACAGGAGCCCAGAGCGACTTGGAACAGTCCTGGAGCAACCAACATCCCAATGCCAGGACCAGCACACAAAACGGAGCCAAACGGAGTCTGGCGCTATTTCGGCATACCAGTGGCCTAACATGAGGATATGGGTACTCCACCAACTAGCATGGAATGGAACTTGGGCTTAGACCCAAGCCGGATGCAGAACAAGGACAGGCACGCAAGCAGGAGCTAGACTATGCCTCAGGTTGGTCGGCCATGCCTGACCTACCCACTATCCCTACTATACATTTGGAACCCCCCATAACCCCCCCCCCCCCCCCCCCCCCTTGAGGAACACATGCTTTGAGCTTTCACCCCAAGCCTCCCTTAGTATCAGGAGTTAGTCTCTGGGACAAACTCGAAACTTACTAAATATGGAATGTCCTTAGATTGTAAATTTGGACACGGGACGAACACCATTATGTTCAGGCTGATCTCTACATTCCGTAGATATGCCAAATGAGCAAATCTGGACACTTTCCATAAATAGCATTTGGGACCGAAATGAGACTAACACAAAGGGCATGATAGCGAGGGTGTTTGGCAAACACAGTAAGCTATCATGTAGCGATATTGAGGGACTAATCTCAATACGCGAGGGTTTTTGTCACTAGCAAGTGCAAGACAAAACGAGACGGGAACTCCTTACCGGGTTAAGTATGCTTAGCTAATAGCACGTAGGAATTCCGTCCTTATGCTCGTCTGGTCTAAGTACACTCGAAATGCCCAGCTAACTCCACTAGCACAAGAGGGGCTACTAAAGGGATCCAACTGTACCGATCTCCTGCCGTCATGGCAGTAAGGTAAGAGTGTCCGTAAGGACTGGTCGACAAGTAACTTTCGATACCCAAAGTCATATTCGCGACAGATATGGATATTCCTGAGAAAGAACAAGGTCAGTAACAGCTAAATTAACAAATGCAACATGCTACTTGGAGTTTATAAAATCGTTAGCAGGGAAAGTGCAAACTTGGGTGGGAGCTTTGGTAGAAGATGAATGTGAAGACTTTCCTAAAGTGCTTGCTTCTTTTCATAAAGTTTTTGAGATTGAGAAGAGTTCATAACAGTTGCTTTGTGAGCTTTTCCTCTTTCTGCAAGGCAGCAACAAATTTATACTTGATTACACAATGCAATTCAAGCACTATTGGAAGATTTGTCAAGCGAAGGAGGTGACAAATGAAGAAAATTTAATTATCTCTACTTATGTGACTAAGCTCAAGTTAGGGATTCAATAAAAGGTGGCCAAGTGACATCATTCCAAGTGCAGTGACATGTATAACTATGATTGGAGATTGAGAAGGATTTGATGTAAGAGCTAAGTGTTTCTAGTATGGTAGAGATGTTTGGACTGTCTCCTATTATGGCAGTGTATGCCATCTTTAGAACATAGCCACCCACCCCTACTTTGACGCCATCATCAGCACCAGCAACAAACATTTCTATTCCCATCATCAATTTGGCCATATCAAAACTTCAACAATACAAGACTCTATTATTGCAATAATTTAGCAACAATAGCAAGAGCAGCTTTTGGAGGAACTCTAAGCTTTTAGGGTACAAGCCTCTTCTTGCAAGCCATCTCATTATTGTTCACATTGTGATTCCTAGACTCCAATATGCTTTACAAGAATGTCATTTGCATAATAATTTCTTCTCAGTTATCTAACAGCCACTTTTGTCCATGAAGAACACATCTTCACTATCAAATACCACCACAACATCATTATTGCATATTTTAACTATGGATATCAAGTTTCTTTTGAGTGAAGAGTTCCACTACCTTGGATCCCAAAATGAGTGTCACTATGCAAGACCATTTTCTTGGATCCATATGCAAACTTATACTACTCAAGCATAAGTTTATCTATGGTTATGAGATATCTTGAGTCTAAAAATCATGGTTGTTCAACCTCTATATTGTGACTTTCTTCCTTAATCTCGTCCAATAGCTTTTATTATAACTCATTTAAGTTTGTCATTGCATCATTTGGGCGATCTTGGGCCCAATGCCCAATCTACTAACACAACTTGCACTAGTTATGATGAAAGATATGCCTTGTTACTCCATAGCCATAGCACCATTAACTAACTATATTGCCTTAATTTCCCTGACTTCTACAATCATCATTTAGGCTATCTTAGGTCTAATGCCCAATCTCCTAACATAGCTTATGCTAGTTATAATGAATACACTTTATGTTGCTTTGTTTACTACATCACATCCCTATCCTTAGCAACTTTGTTTTGTATTTGTTCCAGCCAAAGCCCTTATTGACTCTCTTTTGGTGTACACACTATGAGATTACCCTATTCGAATTTATAAATTCTAACACCATGTTATGAAACCTCAAAATTAGGACAGAAAAACCCATATATCATGTGTGTGTGTGTGTGCTTGGCTTATTCTACTTTAACATGGGCAATAATTGGGCATTTGAGCTCCAATGTGGAGCACCACCCTTGCACTTGTTGCAATAATATGTATTATAAGATTAGTTCTAGGGCAATTGTTAATGGATTTTAGGTGTTCTAAGTTAGACCAACACTATCTCATGGATGTTCTTATGGACATTGTGAGTTCCACTTTGGAGTGCCACTTATAATACTTACTATGAGGAAATTTTTTGTTAATTAGTCCCTTAAGACATTTTTTTCTCACTACTATATTAATAGGAGATTGATACTTCTTGATTGGTTCCTTATTGACTTAGTTGGGCACATAATTTATTTGTTATGGATTTTTGGCAAGTATCATTAAGATATTATATATTATCCCATATTACTGCTTGTTCTACATACTAACCTATTAACCAATTGTGTGAAATAATGAAACATGTGCAATTTTGTTATCACCTTAAGAAATGCCCTCACCTCAATTAAGACCTCTCACGGCCACTCTTCACTAATAAAATACTTGTTTAGACTATTAAATGTTTATATTGAATTTTTGGTTTGCTTAAACAAACCTGTAGGGGGGCTGAGATGGTAGTGGATATACCTAGAATATGCTTAGATATTCTAGCATATTTTACCATCTAATGGTTGTTATTATTTAGATTAATTTTGTATTTATAATTTATAAACATGTTTATAATTTATAAACTTTCTTAAACCTTTTCTAGTATATTCTTTCTTATTTTATCATCTAATGGTTGATATAGTTTGATGTTTATAAATTACAAGCATGCTTATAATTATAAAATTTATTCAATCAATTGAATTATAATACTACTATTAAGCAAACTAAATATTGCTACATGCAATGTGTAGCAATTTATTTAAATATAGGTTTATCTAGTTTGGGAAAGTGAAGTTAACTTCTTGTAGAGTTAAGCGGATATGTCAGATATAATTTTCTCAAAGTCAATGCAAGAGGACAACAAGTAGTGTTGAAAGCCTACTTATAGAGTATTATTCATTGCCACTATCTCACTACACCAAGGTAAGCCTATGATCATTGGCCAATGAAAGCAAACCACAACCACAAGTAACAATTGGAATATAAGTCATAGCCCTAGATTTCCAATTGATATTGTACATAAAAGAGGCCAAGAGATCAAGGAGTAATGTTTTCCCCTATCACAGTTTGATTGCCATTCAAATTCTATATGTACTTTACCACAGCTAGAGCTGGAAGTTTGGATTTAAACATAAGAAGAAGATAATCATTGTGATAAAAGTTTTTACTTCCATATTCTTCCATCAAAAGAACAGAATACATTTAATAAAAAGACTAGTAAAAGATAACATTTTGGTTAAGGTGTCAGATATATAATATTGTCATCAATTTAACTTCCACTAATCTATATTCTCTACAATCCAACGGTCCAAAGTATTTTTGTACATAAAAAGAGCGCCCCCATTTGAATTGGGCGAGGATGGACGAGGGTTTGTGTGGGAGCGCCATGGCCGCGGCGACGGCATCCTTGTCCATGGTCTCTGTCGCCGAGGCCGTGTCTCTAGCGCTCTCCGTGGCCGCCAGGCGAGAGCCAGTGGAGATCGAGCTGCTCCAAGCGCTGGGACTCATTCTCGCCGAGGATTTGCAAGCATCCGATCCGCTGCCGCCATATCCAGCTTCCGTCAAGGTATGAGGCTTTCGCTCTGTGAGAATTTCGCTTAGAATTTTCCCAGGATGGCTATGCTGTTGTGTCGTCGGATGGTCCGGGTGATTATCCAGTGGTGGCCGAAGCACGAGCTGGCCTCGATGCGGAGGGCATCACCTTAGAATCCGGGACTGTTGCGTACATCACTACTGGAGGTACTGTATGTGCGTTCTCACATTTCACATTTTTCTTATTATGTGAAGAACGTTTCCAGGACCAGTGCCTCGCGGTGCTGACGCTGTTGTCCAGGTGGAGAATACGTGCATTGTTTCTGATCCTCGCGATGGAAAGAAGAAAATCCGCGTCCTGTCCGGTGCTAGCCAAGGCCAAGATATACGCCCTGTGGTATGGACTTTCTACTTGTAAGATCCTTTCACTTTTTAGCTAGACTTTTTTTTCTTCTAGAATCTAGACAATGAATGGTGGAGGTGAAATTTTTTATTTGTATATGCTTTTGATTTGGTTGGGAACTTTGCTTTGTTCCAGGGTTTTGATGTTGCTAAAGGAGACAAAGTTCTATCAGCCGGTGACAAGCTAGGTCCTGCGGAAATAGGCTTGCTTGCAAGCGTTGGGACTACGAAGGTCAAGGTAGAAAGCTGCAATGTTTTTATTTCTTTCATTGTGTTTTACTGTCTTGTGTTTTCAGGTGTTTCCTCGTCCCACGGTTGCTATACTGTCCACCGGAGACGAATTAGTGGATTATTTCGAGAAAGATTTGCAGAGAGGCCAGGTGATAACATGACGTCCAGTTCTGTTGTTTAAACCTGGCTTTTTATTTTGCGTAGATTCGGGATTCAAACAGACCTATGCTTATTTCAGCTGTTCAAAATCATCAATGTACCTGTATAGACCTTGGAATCGCTCGAGATACTGAAGCAGCGATAGAAGCAAAGCTTGTTGAAGCCATTGCTCGGGGTGTCGATGTTCTCATAACAACAGGTGGTGTTTCAATGGGGGACAGGGATTTCGTGAAGCCGAAACTTGCTGAAAGGGGAACGGTCTATTTCAACAAGGTTAGCTTTGGACAAAACTTTTGTTTTGTTTTGTGCTAACTGTTGGCTCAGGTCAATATGAAACCAGGAAAGCCACTGACGTTTGCAACAATCGATATCACCTCAGCCCCAGGAAACATCAAGAAAATGCTTGTTTTCGGCTTGCCTGGAAACCCTGTCAGTGGCATGGTGACTTTCGATCTTATTGCACTTCCAGTTTTGAGATACATGTCCGGACAGTCTGACGTTATGCCTTGCAAGTAAGCTTCTGCCAAGTTCCAGAATACATTCGAATGACACTTTGTTTTATGTAGAGTTCAAGCTAAAATACGTGAGCCAATCAAGCTTGATGCAACGAGGCCAGAATATCATCGCGCTATTTTACAATGGGAAGACAGTGAGATTCAGTCGGGGTACGTAACTCTGGGCTTCAGCATTTTTTCAGTTAATGATTGTCACACGCGGCCAGGTTCGTTGCAGCGAGCACAGGTCGACAGGCTAGCAGTCGCCTCTTAAGTATGAAGTCTGCAAACGCGTTACTCGAGCTTCCGAAAGGGCATGGAGTCCTAAGCGCTGGATCTCTTGTTTCTGCAATCATAATCAGGGATATCAAGAGCAAAACTCTGCCGCCTTCTTCGACAAAACCAGTGGAAACCTCAGACGCGAGCAAGCCAGGCGTGAAAGTTGCTATTTTAACCGTGAGCGACACCGTGTCCTCGGGAAACGGTCCTGATCGAAGGTAAAAGCTGGACAAACTTTTTTGTTTTTTTTCACCATTGTTTCGTTTCTATCCAGTGGACCAAGGGCCGTCCAGGTGATCGATTCACTCTCGAAAAGCCTGGGAGGAGCGAAAGTGGTAGCCACAGCCATCGTACCAGATAGCATACCAAGAATACAGCAAGTGCTCGAAGATTGGAGTGACAATCAACGCATCGATCTCATACTAACCACCGGTGAGTGATCAAACGTTCTGGCCGGAGTTCTAAACGAGACGAGTACTATCAGGAGGAACTGGCTGTACACCAAAGGACGTAACCCCGGAGGCCACAAGGGCGGTACTGCAAAAGGAGGCGCCTGGTCTAGCCACCGTAATGCTGCTCGAAAGCCTCAAGGTAGATTCTATTCTATCCTGTTGCTACCACTTAGATCCATTACTTTTCTTTTTAGGTGACTCCAACAGCAATGCTCTCGAGGGGCGTGGCTGGGATCCGTGGCTCCACTCTGGTATGTTTTCATACTCCCATCCATCATCTGGACTAAAGAAGCTCGCTATTTTTTTTAATTTTTTCTTTTTTCGCTTGATTGTCACAGATAATAAACATGCCTGGAAATCCCAACGCAGTGGCGGAATGCATGCAAGCATTGCTGCCGGCGCTGCCGCATGCGTTGAGGCAGGTTCGCGGTGACAAGAGAGAGAAGCACCCTCGCCATTCTCCTCATCACCAAGACACAGCTTTAGATCCTAAAGATGTCTGGACAAGGAGCTTCGTTGCTGCACAAGGCGGAGAAATGGGATGCTCGTGTTCCCATTGAGTTTCTACGCAAGAATCAAGAGCATCTTTGCAAAGTTTGCTTGCTTTGGTTTGATCAAAATAAAACCATACCACGCTGGTTTATGCTTGCGCTCTGCCAAATGGAGTGACCATCTATAGATATACAAATAATGGATTAAAACCTTGGCAAGATAAAAGAGGCAGAAATGGAAAGCAAAGAAAAGAGCAAGATGGTAGAATGGAAAGCCAAAATAATAAAAATGGAAAGAATGGAAAGAAGAGAAACTAGGCAACTTACCATGAGTGTGTTCATTGGACCTTTGAGAGCATTCTCATTCACAGTGATACCATCCAAGTATTGCTGCAGTGCAGTTTGGAGCCTCATGTTCTCAGCCAAGACCCGCTTCTTTTCCAAGTCTAGTGTCATTTTATCCAGGAGAACCTTTGACAAGAAGCAAACAAAAACTGAGAGTTCGCATCACAGTGGAGAGATTTACCTTGTTGTATCGCTTTTGAAACCGAGCGAGGTAGTTCCACTCCTCGACTTCGACCCCGGAGCTATCAGTTGCATATGCGGCCACCCGGTAAGTTTCGGCTGCTTTCTTCTGTGTATCGTGGAACTTCAAAACCCGTGGCTTGTCTGCAATAGTGACGCTTTTCTTCTTTGTTGCCTCGACGCTGCTGCTATCAGGTAGAACGGCGGCCGTTTCTGTATGCCAACGGGTGTGAGTACGAGTTCCAATCCAATCTGACAAAGCTCACCATCCACTTCCGGCGGTCCCAGCAACGGATCGAATGGAAAGATTTTCTCCTGCTCGGTTTCCAGCTGTTTGAAAAGATGTTAAAAGCGTGAAGATCCTTTGTGAGCAGTACCTTCTTACCTTGCTGTTCACGTCTCCAAATCTCATGATCCGCTGCGAAAGTTTGAGCAGCGACGTCAGCTCTATGCTTATGTCTTCACTGGTTTTTGAGATGTCCTGCAGCAGCGCAATCGGTGATTAGTCTCCATCTTTCAGGCAAAAACTCCATACTTTTAACTTCTCGTGTTCGCAATTCCTGAATCTCAACAGCTTCTTCTTGAGGCCCTGATAGTGCCCGTTTACGTAATCCTTCTGATCTCGAAGAGCCTTGTTGATTCCATCCCACTCTCGGCTGTGAAGTCGCATCAGTACGAAGCTAGTTCGCGATGACTCAACCACCTGTTGGTTCCAATCTTCGCTCGCCAGTAGGATATGTTGTCATGTATATACATGAGCTTTCTCATTCTTTGTTCAATCAATCTTGCCGTCACCTTGTCCTTGTCAATCATCTTCTTAAACGCCTGTGTCTTGGTCTCTGTACTCGACAAGTAGTCCTGAAAACAGCTATAATCAATCAGTTGGAATATTAGAATATCGAAAGCTCACCTGGTGCGTGTGCTCCAAACGTCTCTCTAAATCCTCAATGGCGTTCTCCAGTGAGATTTTGAGAACGTTGTATTCTTCCATATTTTTGTTCTGTAAAAACAAAAATGGACAATGAACACAGCTGAATGGCAACGACATGGAATACCCGCATTTCTTCCCGACTAGCCTCGTACTCGTGACGTAGTTCCCCTTCGTGCTCTTTAAATTGCGCTTCCACTGTGTCCATCATGTCATTTAACATCTGTATAGCAGATCAAAGTTGAAGGCTAAGAAACAGAAACTTCTGACAGTCTTACTTGCTTTTGTTTGTCATGAACCCGCATCATCTCCGCTTTCTCGTTATTAAAATCTGAAGCAAGGTTTTTCAGGCGTTCTTCAAAGTTGTCACCCATATCCTGCGGGTAAATAAACCCTTAGTTAAAAAGAGAAAACTGCCAGGAAGTACTTTTGTTCGAACGTAATGTAGATCTATCAAGCCATCGAGAACTTGCAAATGCTTGCTGAAAGATGAACGATGCTGTTCTTCGGACTCTTCCAGTTCTTGAAATAGGGATGCAAGGACATTGTTCTTCCTTTCAACCTGTTGACGGTTTCGTCAGGAAAAATGCCGGAAAGAAAACAATCAACACACCTGATAGTCATGTTCCCGAGCTAGCTCAGTGACTTCCTCCCGGAGCTCTTTTGTCCTCGAAACACGAAGGATCTTCCTCCACTGAGCGTGGATTTCGACCAAGTTTTCCTTCGTGTACCGCTCTTCTCTTTCCTGACATACATTTCAGCATCAACAGACTCGTAAATCAATAACCGGTACCTGGAGCTGCTTCAAACGTAATAGTTGCTCAGCTTCCTTCTTCTTCCGCGTTTCTTCAGCCTGCACAACACATCAACAGCTGCGAAGAAAAAGCATGTCGTTTCACCTTGAGAGCCAGCTTCTGTGCTTTTAATTTCTTCTCTTCGGGAGTCAGCTTCTTCTTTCCCTTCCCTCCCTGTTTTCCAGAACCAATAATCTTTAGGACTTGGGAGCTCACAAGCTAGATTACCTTCTTCTTCGCCATGCGTGAGAACAGAAAGCCAGTGCTTTTACCGGAAATCTCTCGCCCAATTGGCCCAACCAGGACGTGACACGTGGCAGTAACTCACAAACAAAGAGGTCACAAGTTCACGAGAGACTTTAAAAACATTCTCTTCTCGTACGCTATATCACCAGATGAATGTCAGCCTGAAACTGAGAGCTCTACCTGGGTAGAATAACATTATCTTCGAGTGCTTCTTCTTGACAAGGATCGAGCGGAGAGTTTGTGACAGCAGCCGGTGTGTACGCCATCGTGGGAAGCGTAAGCTTTCTCGGGGGATTCTTGTCTTCGAGCAAAATCAGCTGGCCTGAAAAGGAGATCATGCGTTAGCTTGAAACGATTCCTTTTTCTTACGTACCATCATGCCTTACGGAGATCTCTCGTATTTGCTTGACAGCACCAGTGACATAGTCGTTGAAAATCCTCACCTCCATATTCCCTTCGAGGTAGACTCTACGTCTGTGCACAACGTTAGCAGCACAGCATAGAAGTTCTTCTTTTCTTACCCTTTACTGATTTGCCTCGCGATCTCTCGAAGGCGTTCCGGGTACACAGCCACTTTGTGCCACTGGATCTGCTCGGGGTAATTCGGTGGCCTGATAAGGCCCGAGGTTCCAATGGAGAACAAAGTGAGAGCTCTCCCATCGCCGAGAATTTTTTCGAACGGACCAAACCCGACTTGTCCTACGAGCACTGCCTGGATTCAAACAAAAATCAAGCATGGCCAAAGGAACAACGAAAGAATGGAGAGAACTTCATGACAAAAAATTTCCCAAAAGAACGATCACTGCGACGAACCTTGTAGAGTCCAAATGTGTTGTACGTCGCGGATCGTGAGAAGTTCTTGTCCTTCGTTGTCTCATCCCCGTTGTACAGATTATCTTCGCTGTCGGTCTCGAACTGCGTGGAGCAAAATCTCGCAGCAGATCGCCGATGGCCTACGACGATCGACACAAATGCAGCATTGCGATCGCGATGCAGCGGCAAGCAAACCTGGAAGCAGCGCCAAGCATCGCAGCGCGCGATTGACACGCCCGCTCATTCCAAAACCCCCAAAACCCTAGAAATAAAATCTTGGAAGGGAAGAACACCTCTTTTGTTCTATTACATTGTATACAATGAACTTCATCGAAACTTCTTCCTTGCAAAATCACAAGGAGAGAGAACAAGAGAAAAAAAAAGGATCTCTGTACTGCTGCTTGAGAACAAACCTTCTTTGTTTCTTCTATCGTGGTCAATCAAAACTGCGGCTCCTCTCGATTTTTCCCTCTGTACAAACACGAATCCAGTCGATCGATTCGCGACTTTCAAGCCAGGAGCCAGAAGTTCTTCTGCCATTTGGAATTGATGAGATAGCCACCGACCTTTTTGCTTTTCCTCCTCACCGCTAGCGTCAAGCACTCGGCGTTTTGTATACAGTAGTCGATTAGACCATCGCCAGTGAGCCTGAGAAATCTGGAAAGCGCAGGTGTTAGCCTGTGAAACGAAGAAACGAGAAGATAGTGGGCTCTTACCTCCACAAAAATCCGAATTTTCTTTGGCCAAGAACAAGCACCGAAGCCTCGAGCTTCTTGGCTTGGCCGACAATCATCGGCCCCTTGTCTCCTTCTACAACCAGAGTTTCCACTTCAATCTGCGAGGAAAAAGAAAACTCCACGCGTTTAGAGCGACACAACTGAGGAAAAGAACTCTTTTTTCACCTCTGGCCTCCGCTCCAAGCAAAGATCCTTGAGCGTGTTTAGAACTTGATACCCCTTTGCTTCGCCTCGAAACTTGGTCTTCCCTGCAGCGGACAATGCAATACCAGAAGGTGTGAGACAAAGAAAATGAAAGAACTTCGAACTTCATCGAAATCCATACCTTGAGAGACATAGAGGAGAGTCACCACATCCAGCTTGTGGACAATGTGCGAGAGAGCCCAAAGAAGTGCCAGTCTCGCTTCGCTCGATTGATCCACCACTACAATCACCCTCTTCACCGAAGCACCAGATTTCTCGTGAGCCGACGGTGTCCAGTCCTGGCTGTTGACGCTTCCGCAACTGCTGGTGCTAGCTCGACCACAGTTCCCTGTTATCGGATTGCTCTCGCTGGACGACCTTCGATGGCCTCGCTTGAACGACGAGTAGAGTCTTGTGAGCGCTGCTCCCGCCATGCTGGGCAATTCCTCCTCGCGCAGCCCTGGGAGAGAATGAAGATAATCTTCTCGTGAGTACTGAAAAACCAGAGCAGCAGCAGAGGTTTTCAGGGGCTCTGTGGCGCTAGGAGAAAAAAAGCAAAGTGACAGAAGTCCCTTTTAAGCAAGACGAGAGACCAGGAAAAAAAAAAGCGTATAAAACTAGTAGAAAGAAACGTGAGGAAGACAATCCACAACTCGGCCACTCACTTGATTTCCCCGACTAGAAAACTCACAGCGTGCGGCTAAGTCGCTCTTGGAGGACAATCACAAACCGGAAAATCAACAAAACCAGACGAGGGGACGCAAAGTTTCCTCACTGTAGCTACCACGAACAAAGGATTTCTCCCAAGTGTTCATGTAGCACACACGACGACGACGGACACGTCCTTTTCTTCACATGACGCAGCAAAATGAAGAACACAGTGGCCCACTCCAGAGAAGATAAGAGTTTTTTCTTCGCACGACCAAGACATCGCAAGAAGAAAAATCAAAAACCATCAAGAAGGCAGGAAGAAAAAAAGAAAGAAAGAAAGAAGCCAAGGAATCACACCAACCATAGCAATTGGGGCTCTGGCTAATGTTTTAAGTGAAAGCTTTAAGCACTGCTTCCACTGAGAAGTACAGCGCTGTTCCCTGTACAAAAGGAATCAAAAGTCCGGCAGGGAAGAACAGGAAAAATTCTCGAGCAAGGCAGCAAACGGAGACGATGACTTTGCACCAAGGGAGCGTCCTTCGTACAGAAGGATCGCCGATTTCTTTAAGGTGAAAAGAGGGATTCTTGCGTCGAATGCACGCCAGATCCGTCACATACCAGGTGAAACCAGGCAAACCAGGCAAGGCAGGCATTGTTTAATCGCGATTCGCGACCTGTCACTAATCAGGGGCGCACAGGGATAAGAAAATCTCACCATCTGCTTAAATCGGTAGCTAGCGCGACGCGGACGTGTGAATTTCCCCACCGGCGCGACGCCCTGGACGTGCTCCACGCACGCCGCCGGCGCTGCCGCGGTCAGTCCGCCATCGCCATCGCCAATAATCGCCAAGAACCCTAAATTTGCTTTCACGAGACCTAGATTCTAGTATATGCTTTTACTTTGAATTTGAATTTTCCAGGAGGTCGGTAGACCATCACTCTTGAATCAATGCAATCACTTCCAAGCTGATAAATTGATCGATTTTAATGTTCTTGGGGTCTATGACTATGATCTGGCCATCGCGCAATCGATCGGTTTTAATGTTCTTGGGTCTATCACTATGATCTGACTCGTAGCTCGCCACACCAAAAGTGTGACAATCGCATGATCGAGCTCATGAATCGCGAATTTATATGAGAGTGGCCGTGCGATACGGAGCCGGGAGTGGCAGCATTTGATCTAGGCAGGCATCTAAGCATCGCCCATCGCTTGTTCTAAATCTCTGTTGATAGCAAGGACGGGGTACACTGCTGGGGGTCACGAAATTTTTAATTAGATCTACTGTGACAAGGTCGCGCTGCTTTAATTCGATGACCGTGACACTCCAGATCCAGGAAGAACTGGTCAAGTTGATAACATTCTCACTTCCACTATGCATTGGAAGAACAGTGAATTGATAAGAGAAGAGAAGAGATTCCTTCTCATTTTTCCTGTTGATCACATCTACTAGACGCTAGCCTTGATCGACTGGCTATACGAAGTTTGCCGGTCGAAGAACACGGACCAAAACATGACACCACCGTACTTTGGAGAGGATCTAATCCGTGGAAGTACTTGGCTCCTCAAAACTTGGCTGGGCACAAACCCAGATCCCGCCGCCGCTGGCGCCGCCGGCAATCCCATGAAGATCTTCACATTGGGCGTCTTGGAATTCCACTCCTTCCAAGAATCCAGGAGCCTGGTGGTGTTACTGCCATCGTACTGGCAGGGAGGATTGTTGTAGAATTGTACGTAGACGTAGTCGAAGAGCCCTTGCTTGGCGATGGCGGATCCCAGGTTTGCATCTGGAAATGGGCACTGCGGAGCCGCCGAGATCAAAACCCTGCGGCTCGAGCCTCTAGAAACGTCCCGGATCGCTTGGGCGAGCAGCGCGTACCTATCCGGGATCGCTCCATTCTCGATATCAAAGTCGATTCCATCCAAGACCGCGGATCCCAGAGGCCTGGAGCTGGATCGACCACCCAAGAAATTGTTCCACAGGTATCTCGCCACGGATCTGGCGTCGCTGGCGGAGGAGATGGTGTAATTCCCCACCGCTCCGCCGAGCGAGAGGAGGATCTGGATGCCTTTGCTCTGGCAGGAGGCGATCTGGGAGCTCAGTGTCACGCAGCCATTCGAGGATGGGTCGCAGTGGCCGGCGAGATTGAGCTGGGGGATCTGGCCGCCACCGAAAACGTTGAGGAAGGAGAGCATGATGATCTTGTAGGTGCCATTGCTGCAAGCGTTGGCGAGCGATCCTTCGTTGCCGTTTTGGCCCCAGTATATTGCGATGGATCCTTTTGCTGCTGATGCTTTTGGAGCCACTGGTGCTAGCACTGCGAGGATCACTAGGAACATAGCCAGCATTTTGCTTTGCTCAAACATTGCCATTATTTTCTTTGTTGGAAGTACGAGATGAGCTTTTTGGAATGCCTCGGTTTGGGTTGGACTTATATACCTCGGGGCAACGCGGAAAGAAAGTCAGAGCTAGTAAGATTTGACTTTGACAATTATGATGAAAAAATAAAAGTAGCACCATGTTGAGACTTTGAATTTGGGGACGCAAGCATTTGTTTTATTTGATGTGTCTCTAGTATCAAACCACAAGTGTTAATTGCTGGATATAACAGTAAGAATGTTTTATTCTGAATCTATAATTTGCAACAAACAAAAACAATCTGGCAAAAGAGAATAGTCTCATACTTATACAAATAATTAGTGGTTCAAACTGCATTGATATTACAACTTAAATTAAGCAAGCTAATTTTATATATATATATATATCTATAGAAACTCACAGTACTCCCCCAAATATCCTCATTGGTTACTTTATAGACTTTAAAAATTACACATTTCAGTAAGGCTTCATATATTTAATGCTTTTTGCAAAAAAAACCAAATGATAATAATTTACCTCATTCCACAACTTTTTTCTTTATAAATCTTAGGCATATCTATATATTATTAATTCTTAGATTAATCTATTATCATATTATATTTTTATATTTGTGAAAAAGTTTTTAATACCTTAACAAATATATATATATATATATATATATATATATATAGTTCAAATGAGCATTATATATTTACACATATGCATATTTATTGTTTTGAATTGCATGCAAAAATATTATGCATACAATCACTTTTCAATTGCTATATAAGCAATAAAAATATGATTGTATGTATAATATTTTTATTATAGAGTTTTAACTTCTTATACACACTTAGAATGGAAATCCAAGTTTGTAATGTACATGGATTTTACCCTTTACTTTAAAGTGATTTACTATAACATAACTATGGAATGGAACTATAACTTTTAAATGTGTGAGCAAAGGGTAGTGGAGTAAAACTCAAATTTCAAGGCAAAAACTAAATTATATTTCAAGTTGGTTGAATATGCTTAATCTACCCACTATCTTTATTATATATACATAGGCATATTGTACATATTATACATATTATACATACATGCATTATATATGCATGTAAGCATATGCATTATACATACATATATATATTATACATATTATACATACATTCCTCCCCTTTTATTTTTTCCTCTTGAGGAAGGCTTTCACCCCAATTTCAAGAGTTAGTCTCTGAAACAATCACAAAAACTTATTAAATATGGATTGATATGAGATTGCAAATTTGGATGTGGGAACAATATTGTTGTATTCAAGACAACCTCTATATACTATAGATATGTGTCACTTGCAAATTCAGACACTTATAATAAGTTTCTTTAATTAAGTCAAGTATATTTGATTAATAGTATTTAAAAATTTCATCTTTATGCTCTTTTGGCCAAGTGCAAATGTGAAGATCAATTTCTCAACTGATTGATAAAGGGTCTAGCAATATTAACCTCTTATCATAACAGTAATGAAAAAATATTTAAAAGAACTTGTTAACAAATAACTTTTAATACTCACAATCACATTTGCAACACACTCTTCTCCCCCCAAATAGGATCAATGTCCCCGTAAATGCATACTCTAGACTAGTCTAAACCATTGCCAAAGAAACAACTCTAAAAAAAGTTTGTAATATATATATTTTATGAGAAATATATCAACTTAAATGAATTAAAGGGTAATCTTTTAATTTAATGCAAATATCCTACAACTCAAACACCTTTTAGCTCTCACCGACATAGAAATGACCAACAAAATCAGCCACCTTTGCTATATTAGGTGTCATCTATCTTACAAAAGATGATATGCCCCTACCTATATATGATATAGAGAGATAAACTAAAGGCTTCAACCCTCTTAAACAAACAAACTAAACCTATTAGTAAAGTTTAAAAAGGTTACTATAGGTGATGTGACCAATCAATAGCAATTACCCCATAACTAAATGCTTCATCATACACACAAAGTGTCGAAACTAGTTTATATATACTATCCCAAACCCAAAGATCAATAAATAGACAATACTAAAGTCACAGACAAAGATATCTTAAAGGCAATAAATTATTAATAAATAAATCTTAAATTAGAACACAAATGTATTTCAATTAAGTTATTATGTAATAAACCAATACAATATAGGAACCACCAAGATCACTATGGTTTAAAGTCATAGGATTAACCATCAAATAAAATTTAATAGCAAGTGTATCATAAAAAAAACTAATAAAATATCATTAATTGGCAAGCAAAATGCTCATGAATGTATCACTTAAATGAAATAATATTCTAATCTATTAGAAACAGCTGTAATAATAATTAACATTTCATAATGAATGTCGCAAAAATAAATAAACACTTGTTCATATAAATTATTGCATTAGCTAGTCTCAATAGATCTCAATCAACAATATAGAGGAATTAGATTTTTTCAAGAAAGTGTTAACAATATCCTACTAATAACTTAAACTCAAAAAACCAATCTAAAATAAACTATAAAGAATATATGGTAATGTAGAAAGTTAAGACAACAACTAACCATCAAAAAATATCATTGATCATTCTAATAATAGAGATGCATAATTATCATTGAGTAATAATCCACCATCCCGAAGAATGTCAAATCATTTAACATTAATAATAATTAAGCAAGATCTCTAATAAAGATATCAACTATTCCAATCATTACTAATGATTGCCAAATGCAAATACCAACTTCAATATTAGAACTAATGAGCTAAAATGCTTTCCCTAATAACTCTTAACAAATGAAATAATAAATATAATAACCCAAATAGCCTAAAGTTTAAAGAAGTATATAATTATATCTCACCTAACAATAATTACAAGTTTTACATTAACCAACTTTAATACCAAAGAAGAAATCATGATATAACTCACAATACCCTCTTTAATATATCCATAAGCTAAACTTTATAATATAAAAGTTAATGAAAAGCATTATTGTATCAATCCACAAGCTAAGCATGATAAAGTTATGCTCAATAAGTGATCACTAAACAATCCTTTATGAATCCATTTTCTAAAACATGATATAATTCACTTTATAACAAGCACAAGAAGAATCATCAATGATCAATATATCCTCAACTCAAATTTTATAAAGAACCAAGAATTTCAATATTGATAATTAACTCTTCCTTTTATGAAGCTAGTATAGTTTATGAATAAATCACTTTTGGAGGAAAAGTTAAAACTTAACCAATCTCATCTAAAACACAATTAACTCAACTTATCATTCAATTCATTTGAACACTAACATAATTACTAACTAGTAAAATGCATAAATGCTAATAACACAAAGGTATAACCAAACTATCAATATAATTTTCATTGAGACTAGTGAAATAAAATATTAATCTCTAATGGCCCCTACCAAACATTAACCACCTGAATTACCACAATGGAAAATTTAACCTTCCAACTTTCTCTATAGAGAGATATCCTATTTCACTATATATGCAATAATATTGTAATAGCTTTGATTAGGTTTTCAAAATGATTATTAGTTTTTACCCTTTATTTTATAATAGTTTACCATAGAATAATTATGAAGCAGAACTTAAACCTTTGTCCAAAGCACATATGGTTTTCACTTTTTACTCTATAATGGTTTACCATAAGAAAACCATTAGATACATGAGCCAAAGGTAGTGAAATCTAAGTTTAAGGCTTTATGCCACTAAATGAAGGTACAAAGCTAAACTCCTGAATATATAAATAGGGAGCATAATAAATTGGAGCACAAAATAACTTTGGAGTATAAACCCTAATGAGCAAAGAGACAAAAGTACAAAACAATATTGGAGCAGTCTTAAAACTTTCAGCATCTTAATATTAAGTCTAGCATGTAAAATAGAGCCAAATAGAATCTAATGTTATTTTAGCATACCCATGGCCTAATGCAAGGATATGAATACTCACTAACTAACATGGTATAAAACTTAAACCAGATATAAAACAAGAACAAGCACGCTAACTCTTGGTATGGAGCTTAAGCTTATACCTAAGTCAAATGTAAAACAAGAACAAGCACGCAAGCAAAAGTTAGACTATGCTTATTAAGTAATTTGAAGAGTTAATGCCAATAGCAATACATATTGCTCCGAAATTATTAAGAGTCAAGGTCAATATCTCACATTTGTCCACTCAGGTTTGAGTTCTTCAATAGTGCCATATTTATGAGGCTGTTGAGATCTAGGGGTAAATGGCCATTAGTTAAGTTGGCTTTATTGTTGTAGGACTTTACTCATACAAGCCAGATTTATAACTCAATTATTTCGAAACCAGATTCAATGTTAGAGTGAATTTACCATCTTTTGAAAAAAGAGATTGAAAGTTTGAAAAGATCAAATTTCAAACTGAAAACTTCTTCAAATGTTATTATTAATGTTGCTATGCCACCGATATCAATATTAAACTGGTATATACAACCAGCTAGAAATGGGGAGACCAGCCAAGAAACACATACTGTTACTAATAGCCACTGGTACCATATAAGAAAATAAGCCTTTAAGCTTTCTAATTATTATTATTAAGCTTTTTTCTTAGTACTCTTGCTGGAGTTTTGTGCATACAGCCGTTGTTGCAGAAGTCGGACCTTCTCATAAAACAAAAAAAAAATTAGCAAAATCTTCTTGATACCAAGAATCTAAACTTACATAGCTGGAGGCATGGTTGCTTCAATGCAGGATCTTCTTCAAGAGAGGTTGGCTGGAGCCCATAGATCATCTCACAGCTCATGTCTTCAAAATCTACAAAAACGCTGAGGGTGATCAAAGAGGAAATAAAAACATCAATCTTCTCGTACTTGGTGTCATGGTGAGAGGCAACCCAAAGTCATTTGTGAAGAAATCCTGGGTGGGAATTTTACACATATTTACGCACATTCCAACACAATTGCTGTTCTCTAGATACCTGGAAACGTAGTTTTACATGCTTAGTTCTCTTCTTTGTAGAAATCTCACCTGCATTTAAGAATCTTCACACCACTTTTTTGTTTCACTCCATTCACTTCTACCTCAAACCGCTGTCAAAGAGTTTGATATAGAAAAGAACAAACTAGGATCAATTCGAGGATTTTTTTTACCTCGCAAGGTCCTACGAGCCACTGGAAAAATGGCACCGTGATCGCCGCATTGAACTCGCAAGCCCATTTAGTTGGAGGAAATAGTTTTCGAAACTATATCACAATGCATCACATAGATAAAACTCGAAGAGGAAAATCTTGATAGTACCGTTTCTGGAGCTCCGGGAGGCATGATTGATAGAAGAACTTCACGAACAAGAGCTCGCTGCTCTACCGGATTTCTTCCCTGAAGAACACCTCGCGATACATCCACGAAGCCATCATATCCAGTCTTTTTGCTAGCTCTCCCTACATTAGAATTCTTTTGATCATACAAGGACAATATAAACCATGTAAGAATCTTTATCCATACCTGTGGCATTCTCCATCTTCCTGGCAAAGAGGGACATGAAAGCTCTGTCAAAGATTGAATCCTTGTATCGTGTCTTCTGGCCCATTGGCGCTGGCTTTCCCGACGGCTCCGCGATCTCACAGCGAATCAAGCTTCTACTATGCAGTGAAACGGAGCTCATCGCCATTCCAAAAGAACCAGAAAAAAAACTAATCTACAACCAAAACGAGAGAGCCAGCGTGTGCCAAGCACGCAACACAAACCAAAAAATCCGCCGCCCGTGGGGCTCGAACCCACGACCACAAGGTTAAGAGCCTTGCGCTCTACCAACTGAGCTAGGGCGGCTTTGCTTGTCAGAAAGATAAAATTGTATACATTTGATTAGTGTCCATTTCGTTTGAGAATGGCAACCACGAACACCAGTATCACAGGAGCCAAAGTTAGTGCAAAGTAGAACAATCCCTCTCTAAATGCCGCTTTTTGATCGTCTTCTCCTTCTTCACTTGATGGTTTTGTGTAGGACGAGTTGTAGCGAGTGTACTTCCTTGGAATGAGCTCGAAGTAGTCCCGGTAAGCGTTCACGTCCCATGTTGAGTTTTCACTTACTTTGAGCTTCTCCGCGGCCTAGAAAGTTTTTGATTGAAGAGATCCGAAACTATATGACGAGGTTCTTTGATTTACCTCGAAACTAAATATGAGTTGCTTGGCTCTTTTCTTGACGCTCTGACTTGAATGCGAGACAAGCTTGTCATAGATCACGCGAGCTTCACGCGATCTGGAGTGAAAGAAAGACTACTTTGTGAAAGAGAAAAGCTGGAGATTATTTTACCTATTCATGGATTCGAGGCACAATGCCTTTGAGAGCGCTGCTTGTCCATGGAGCTCGCTCTGCCAAGCAGAAAAATCGAATTTTGCTTTAGAACAACGACTAAAACTTCATGACTGGAACCTGGAAAACCATCTTCTCCATGACAATCTCAAAGTTTTGCACTGCATCTCTTAACTTGCCACTCTTGAGCAATCCTTCTGCTTTACTCATGATCTGCAACGTAACTACATGTTCCACCATTTAGAAATCGAGAGATCTGAAAAAAAAGAGGAATACAAACCTCTTGGCACTCGGAAGAAACTCTCGGATCAATATCCAGGCCCATTTTTCGTCGATACTCGGCAAGCAACTCTTTAGTCTTTGCTTCGCGAGCTTTCTTTTCCTCATCAGTTTCAAGCTCTTCTCCCGGTTTTATTGTTCGTCCTCCTCCAAACTACAAGAAAAACAAAGATCAAAGATCAAACACAAAACGTCTCATCTCTTCGTCCAGAAAAAAAAAAAAAAGAAAACTGATTTTTTACCGTCTTGGAGATGTTTGGAGGCCGCGGGAACACACCCCACGTAGAAACCTTGGGCTTGTACAAATCATCTCCAGATTTCGATGCATCCTCGACGTCTCTCGTGATGATCTCCACTTCCGGGAGCTGTCCGGGAGGCGGAGCTTCAAACTCGGCGATCAATCCCGCCGGCCGCCCCGGCTTCTTCTTCTCGGAGAAGTCCAGCCCCACGAATTCCATCCCCTTCTTCCTGATCTCCAGCGTGAGGGAGTCCTGAGGCCGTGGAGCTCGCCTCTTGATCACTCCATCTCTCGTGATAATCTCGACTTCCACCTCGTTCGACGATAATGACCTCTTCTCCTCCTCTTTGCTCTTCTTGATTTTCATCTCCTCCATTTTCTTTCGATAAGCAGCGGCTCGCTCCATCGCGCTTTGCGGCCCATTTTGATCCGAGCTAGAAGCTCGCGGTGTAATTCGACTGAAACTCTGGATTCTACCACTCACCCAGCTCGCGGAGCACGACGCGTCCATTCCCTCCTTCCCGCTAGCCCTAAAACACATGTTTAAACTTTTGAAAAACTTCTTTAAAGACTGATGTGTCAATACAAAAGCCTGACACGTGGAGTAGTTTATCTCGCCACGTCACTACCTTAGTTTACAGTATGTGTGGCCCAGGTGGCCTTATTGTCCGACGTGTAGATGACAACGTTGCCATCGTTTTGGGTGACGAGGCGGTACTGCTCGTCGTCCTTGCTGCTGACGTCAATGGTATCGCTGTCCCAGACTGCCACGTCGGCGTCGTTGAAGATGACGAGGTTCCCATTTCCTTGGAGCAAGACATAGCAACCAGATGCTTTCTTATCGGTGCGTGATGCCCAGAGAGGCTTGTTATCGCTTGTCCGATACAAAACTAAATTACAATCCGATTGCATTATCTGTACATTATAAATCAGAATGTATTGTGAATTGATTCTCACAAACCAGATTGAAACGCCCATCTTGGGATTTGATGTTGTTCCTCACTAAATTGTTGCTCTTGAGCCTCGCATTGTGGCCTAAAATGTCTGCTGCTTGAGAGAGACTAACAACAAGAAGAAGGATTGAGATCAAGATCCCTGTGATCATTGGAAAGAGTGTTGGTGATCACCCTCCTTGACGAATTTTGGAGAACCTCTCCTTCTTGGAAGAAGATCAGATCATGATTTATAGTGGTGGAATTTGATTTTGAATTGGTGGTGGAGCTTAGTGCTCCACTATGTTTTGAATTGGTCTTTGACATTGATATATTACTGCCACCTCAGGCCTACAGTCTTTACTGGTCAAAGTCTCCTTGAAACTGGTGTTGACTGCACGTTTCCAAAGAGGAGAGTTCAAAAGAAAACAGCAATCTTCCGCGGTTTTCAAAGGAATGATGGACTTTCTCGGCACTACTTAACAAGCGTCTTCTTTTCTTTTCTTTGCAGATTCACCTAGACATGAAGATAATCACAAGTGTTGTTCTCTGCTTGTTCTTGATCAATTCTGTGAGCATCAAAGTTCTTGCACAAGATGGCTCTTGCTCAGCAGCCAAGCTTTGCCAATCCGGTTACTGCTGTAGCAAGTTTGGTTACTGTGGCACCACCGATGCATACTGTGGATCTGGAAACTGTGCTTCACAGTGCCCAGGTAGCGGAGGTGGCGGCGGCGGCGGCGGTGGTGGCGGCGGTGGAAGCACAACCAAGGGTGGCATAGCAATATACTGGGGCCAAGATGGAAATGAAGGGACCTTGCTCAGCGCTTGCAACACTGGAAGATACCGCATTCTTATCATCTCCTTCCTTTCGCAGTTTGGAAGAGGGCAAACCCCACTTCTCAACCTTGCCGGGCACTGCGATCCACCCTCCGGTGGCTGCAAAGGCCTCACTTCGGACATCAACGCTTGCAAGAGCAAAGGCATCAAGGTTCTCCTGTCGATCGGCGGTGGCGCCGGAAGCTATGGCCTCTCTTCGTCCAGCGATGGCCAGTCCGTCGCCACCTACATCTGGAACAACTATTTGGGCGGTTCTTCGGGCAATCGTCCGCTTGGGTCCGCTGTTCTTGACGGCGTCGACTTTGACATCGAGACGGGCAACACTCCACAGCAGTATTACATCGCCATGGCTCAGAAGCTCAAATCTTTCAATTGTAACTTGATTCTAAGCGCTGCTCCTCAGTGTCCAATCCCAGACGCAAGCCTTGGATCCGTGATCAAGGTTCCCGGGCTGTTCACATATGTGTTCGTGCAGTTCTATAACAATCCACAGTGTCAGTACAACAACAATGGAGTTTCCGGGATCTTGGGCTCTTGGAATAATTGGGTTTCAAACTCCGTCACCCCAAGCACTGTCAAGGTTTTCATGGGATTGCCAGCATCACCTCAAGCTGCTGGGTCTGGATACATGCCTCCTAATGTTCTTACGTCCCAGGTCTTGCCAACCATCAAGGGCTCCTCCAAGTACGGAGGTGTGATGCTTTACTCTGTGGCTTATGACAAGTCGTACAGCAGTGCCATCGTCTCCAGTGTTTGAGAGAAAATAAGCTGCTGTTCATAATAATGTGCAACTTATGAAAGAGTGCAAAAACGTTTTCTAGAATATTTCTTACACCCAAGGTAAGATGTGGAAACATGATCATGATATATCAAAATTCGATTTTCGAGCTCAATGTATCCATGAGAGAAATTAATCTTCTTGTGTCAATTATTTACGGCAAGATTCAAGCCCCGTTTTTACTGTCTAGTGTTTTTACCAAAATGGAGCGACAAGTTTGCGCTTGAATATTAATTGCTGTGAGGTCGTGAATCCCTTGCAAGAGTGCTTGCTCTAGATTTTTTGCTAGATAGATTTCTTTCATTCTTACTCTTTCTTTTATCGTTTCAATGTTGCTTCTGGCACTGCTGGTGCATCACTCGATCGCTCTCAACTTGGTCCCAAGGCAAGACTTTCGAGGCGATTTGCCTCTCGTAGCCCTCTCACGCCTTCGCGCTGCTGCCCTGGTACTGTTTTGGGTTAGGAACTTTGCCTCATGGCGCCAGTACTCCTCGCTCCTGATCATTGCCGGGTTAGAAGAACGAACAAAGAAAAATCATCGTCTCCCGCTCCTCTTCGCCACCGCCTCAAGAGCTCTGGGCCTCGGGTTCTTTCCGGCTCAACGATTCATCTCGTTCTTCCCACCGGAGCGTGTGCTGAATCCAGGCCCGGCAGAGAGGGTTTCCTCCAGCGAATCGGGGGACGAAGATAAAGCTAGACGACTTAACGTGAAAGTTGGCACGAGATTAATGTTAAACAAGAAGTTGAGATGGCCGAGTTGGTCTAAGGCGCCAGATTAAGGTTCTGGTCCGCAAGGGCGTGGGTTCGAATCCCACTCTCAACACAAGATTAGTTCATGGTTTCTCTTTTATAACTAAATCTAAAGCGCTGCTACTTGATATTGTTTCAGTTTTGCATCCAACATCCAACTTTCAGGCTTAAAAGATGAAACTAGAAATTTGTCGATTTTTCTTCCCAATCACATGCAAAGCCGCCCTAGCTCAGTTGGTAGAGCGCAAGGCTCTTAACCTTGTGGTCGGGGGTTCGAGCCCCCCGGGCGGCGGTTATTGCAATCTCGTTTTGCTCGTGGCATTTTTTAATTTTTTTCTGGTTCTTGCGGAATGGCGCTGGGCGCGCCCGCGATTTCATTCCATAGAAGCTTGATTCGCTGTAAGATCGCGGAGCCGTCGGGAAAGCCAGCGCCAATGGGCCAGAAGACACGATACAAGGATTCAATCTTTGATAGAGCTTTCATGTCCCTCTTTTCCAGGAAGATGGAGAGTGCCACAGGTATGGATAAAATTCTGACATGGTTTATATCGTCCTTGTATGATCTAAAGAAATCTGATGTAGGAAGAGCTACCAACAAGCCGGGATACGATGGGTTCGTGGATGTATCGCGAGGTGTTCTCAAGGGAAGAACTCCTGTAGAGCAGCGAGCTCTTGTTCGTCAAGTTTTCCTATCAATCATGCCTCCCGGAGCTCCAGAAACGGTACTATTTATCTATGTGATGGCTGAGCGAACATTGTGATACAGTTTCGAAAGCTATTTCCTCCAACTAAATGGGCTTGCGAGTTCAATGCTGCGATCACGGTGCCATTTTTCCAGTGGCTAGTAGGACCTTGCGAGGTAAAAAATAGTGTAGATTTGATTTTAGTTTATCAAACTTTTTGACAGAGGTTTGAGGTAGAAGTGAATGGGGTGAAACAAAACAGTGGTGTGAAGATTCTGAAATGCAGGTAAGAAATCTACAAAGAAGAAAACTACGCATGTAAAAATGTGTTTTGCTTTTGATTTCCAGGTATTTAGAGAACAGCTCCTGTGCTGGAATGTGCGTAAATGTGTGTAAAATTCCCACCCAAGATTTATTCACAAATGACTTTGGACTGCCTCTGACCATGACACCGAGTAAGAGAAGGACTAATATTTTCGATCACTCAGAAAAAAAAATTTGTGTAGATTTTGAGGACATGAGCTGCGAGATGATCTATGGACTCCAGCCGCCCTCTCTCGAAGAGGATCCAGCATTGAAGCAACCATGTCTTGAACTTTGTAAGTTTTTGTATCAGTTGCTCACTAATTGCAGTCTTTATTTTGTTAAAAGGTCCAACTTCTACTACAAAGCCAATTTGCACAAAACTTACTCCATAATAATTATGGTAAAGATTATTTCCTCATTATAAAGTCATTCTTTGTTTTTACCACTTTCATTGATCACCCTCTTTATTCGCAGCCTCGATCCTGGCAAGTCTCAATCACTTTCACTAGAGCCCCTCTTGAGTTCCCCCTGTTCTGGACCAACACCTCCATGATATCAGCAGGAGTGATCTCAACCTTGGTGATGAGCTCTTTGATCTCCTCAAACTCCTTTTAAACTCACTGGGCTGCAAGATCTCAACAGCACCTTGAACACCTCAAATCCACAGTATCCCATGAAAATGTGCCATCCTGCCCGACCAGATCCATCCAGATCCTCCTTGTGGTTTGTCGTGAATATAATGATCCTTCGGCACAGTGTAAGCCTGCTACTCTCTTCCTCCATTTTCTTGTGTTTCTTTTCGGACTCACCATCCATTCCGATGTTAGCTTCCCCTCTTCTTGAGCTCCAGCGAGCAGTTGATGTCCTCGATCATGATGATAGCCTTGTTGGAAATCCCCATGAGCAGCTTCCTCAAGTCGGCATTGCTCTTCACCTCCGTCAGCTCCATGTCGTAGACATCGTACTGCGTGTAGTTTGCGATGGCAGAGATGAGCGACGACTTCCCAGTCCCTGGTGGCCCAGATACCTGCACTTCCAAGCTCTCCCAGCTGAAGAATCCCTGCCACCCATGAAGGAGTCCAGGTCCTGGATGATCTTGTTCTTGAGCTCGGGATCCAGCGCCAAGCTTGAGAACGTCAAGGCGTGCTTGAAGGCACTGATCTCCACGATCTTCTTGTAAACCCGCTCCATTGAGTGTCCCATGTTGGTGTAGAGCTGCCAGTCTTGGTTCTGTCGTTTCAAGCTCTCAACTTCCCTCATGTACTCTGGCAAGAGCATATACTTGTGCCTCCTGTGAACTTGGACGACGTACTCTTGCTGTGTTCCTCCACTTCGATCGTAGTAACTGGGCCGTCCATTGCTGGAGGACTCGGTGACGCTGAAAGTCCAGGAGAATGTGACTCCTTTGAACTTGTCCTTCACTCCCTTGCCACGGCAATTTGGCTATATAGCGTTCTTCACTCTGGTAAACTGGATTCTGTTTGCTGAGCTTTGGTGTTGGTGTTGGTGAGATGAGTGACGTAGAGGTCGTAGATCTTGTTGATGTTGCTTGTTAGGCGCCAACTTTGACTACGTGGTCAACATCGGTCAAAGGGAGGCTCAAGGGTATATTAAAGCATGTTAGGGTAAGGGACTTAACTTACCCTAGGGCTCGCGGCAGCGCAGTGAAGCTTTTGAGGTAGCTCGGGGGTGGTTGGGTGGTGAGGAACCTCAAGAGGTGGCATAACATAGTCTAGGGCAACTAAATCTTTGTCTTTTTGCCCCGGATCATAACATTGGTATCAAAGGAGTTGGTTGCAATGGCTGACCAAGCTGAACGCTGGAATCCTATTGTCGATGGTAGTGCCGACGATAATGCTGACGAAACTGCAGAGATTTGGACTATTCAAGATGTGGTTCATGAGCTGCAAGCCCTTAATTGAAATCAGCAAGAGATGCAAGACGAAATGCATGGCATGATGGATACCATATGTGGGCGTGTTGAGGCATTCGAGGCTAGACGGGGTAGCGCTCCAAGTAAGCCTTCTTTGGTAGATCGACTCAAGATTCCAACCTTTTCCGGTGATGGTGGTGTGGATGAATGTCTCGCTTGGCTAGCTAATGTGAAGAAGTTCTTGGCTGCTAGAGGAACTCTAGATGTAGAGGCTTTAGTGGCTATTCCGATGGTTTTGCGTGATGCGGGTCTTTGATGGTGGAATTGGCTTGAGGAGTTCCGTGTTGCGGATAAGAAACCACTAGTGTCTACCATGGATGAGTTTGAGGTTGCTTTTCGTTTACATTTTGCCCTTCATTACGACGTGGAGAATGCTCGTATAGAACTTCGACATTTCCAACAAGGGAAAATGACGCTCGGGGACTATATTGAGAAGCTTACTCGCTTGATTAGTTGTGTTCCAACGAAGGATCCGGATCAGAACAAGTCCTACTTCATTGATGGCCTACATAGTGAGAGCATGCGGCAACACTTGCGTCATTCTCAGCCTACAAAGAGTTTGGAGGAGCTCTTTGATGCCGCTCGTCAACTTGACAATGACAAGCACAAGTCTCGTAAGCGTTCGCAGAGTCCTTCTGTCGAGAATCGTCATGATGATCGCCATAGACACAAGGATGGGAACAAGCATCACAAGTTGAAGTCGGTGGTGACTACCTCGGATGCAAAGGGGTCCAAGAAGCAGAAGTACTTTGTGAAAAATTATAGACAGGGTTGTCATCATTGCGGCGAACTTGGACATTACAAGGCTGATTGTTTGCATGTAAGCAACTAAATTTTTCATTCTACTTTAGTCACTTAACCACACCACTGACCACTTGGAGGAGTCTCATTCACAATCTCCATAAGTCCAATTCAGGATTTGGGACTTGCTAGCCCCGAGAATGGCATCCATGCCACTCAACATTTGCACTTGGTCCAAGTGCTCCACGTGTCCGATCCCATGACCGACACTCAAAGGTACCACCGACATAGCAGCCCGTTACGCTAAGGCCATGCCCAATCACCTTTGCCACACTGGTAGTCCAATACCACTTGCATCACCGTCTTGGCTCTCCAAGACTAGGCAAACCATCCGTGAGTGGTCATCTCAGATCCACTCCTTAGCATCCTTAGGATGCCCACCGACAAGGGAAATAGCCTTCCCCAATATCCCTCTGCCAGTCCCCACTAAGTCCCTTTCTGCCCCTGGCCGTGTTTGCCAACACTGCCACTAGATCGAGACCCACAGGCCCGACCACTAAGTCCCACGGTCCTCTGGGACTTCCTCACCACACGACTGTGTCCTTGGTCACTACCCTAGAGGACTGCTCCTCTTCCTTTCCACAGTCTGGGCCTTTGGGACAACATTTCGGAACACCGTGGCCTTATGCGAGCCACCTGGGTACTCTCCTCGCCTTCTGCCCTTGGGTGCTCTAGCCATGGGCTTAGAGCGGGTTCCATTGAGCCACACCAGGTATCCAAGTAGGTAGTGCCACCCACACTTGGACTGGGAGCATCGGCCAGTCGATCTCCCGGGGGAACTAGAGCCAGCTCTTGAACACTTCACCAAGCTACCCCGCTTGTCGGTCCGTGTTCACTCTAGTCTTGGACTTCCCAGTGGGCAGCTCATCACCCAACACTGGGTCCGGCCTTCCTGGGCCAAACTGGCCTTTCCTGGCCAAACTGGCTCCACTGCAATCCTCCCCCTACTATACTTTTGGAGCTCACCAAACCCCCCAGGGTCTGGGAGACGAACGCTTTGGGCTTTCACCCTCTCAGACTCGAACTTGGACTCGAACTTGGACTCGGACTCGGACTCGGACTCGGACTCGGACTCGGACTCGGGCTCGGGCTCGGTCTCGGCTTCGGCCTCGGTCTCGGTCTCGGTCCCGATCTTGGTCTCGGTCTCGGTCTCGGTCTCGGTCTCGGTCCCGGTCTCGGTCTCGACTTCGGACTCCATCTCGGACTCCGTCTCGGACTCCATCTCGGACTCCATCTCGGGTCCATCTCGGACTCCATCTCGGGTCCATCTCGGACTCCATTTCGGGTCCATCTTGGACTCCATCTCGGGTCCATCTCGGACTCCATCTCGGACTCCATTTCAAGTCTATCTCGGGTCCACCTCGGACTCCATCTCGGACTCCATCTCAGACTCCATTTCGGGTCCATCTCGGGTCCACCTCGGACTCCATCTCGGACTCCGTCTCGGACTCCATCTCGGGTCCATCTCGGACTCCACTTCGGACTCCAACTCAGGTCCATCTCGGACTCCACTTCGGACTCCAACTCGAGTCCATCTTGGACACTTCCACGTGTCATGTATTGGTCCTTTTGGGTCCCTTTTTGGAGCCTCGGTTTTTGCTCGCTTCGTGCTCGTTCCTCGAGCACTTCGTTAGGAGTTCCACTCCCGCTCTTGACTTTTCAAGTCGGAGCTTTTGGTCCAAACGTGTTACACTCGTTTGGCTCTCGCTTCAGCCACTACCACGTGGCACCCTTCCGGCTCCACTTTGGGGCCTAGGGATTTTGTGTCTCACACTGCAATTGAAGAACAAGTAGCAGGATAAGTAGAATGGCCAATCTTCTTCTCACGGTAAGTCGGATATTAAAAAGTTGCAAACTTTGCAGCTTGAGGATGAGGAGAACGACTCGGAGGAAGCGACTTTCGATCGTTGCTCGTCAACTCAACTGTGTGTGGAACAAGATGGAGCTCGAGGATACGCGTGAATCAGCTTTAATGCTGGAGGGCATGTTCCGTGGCAATCCAATGCGGATTTTACTGGATAGTGGGAGCAATGACAACTTTGTTTCGGCAAAGTTTGTTGCGGAGCATGGCCTGGTCACACGCGGTGTTCTTCCATACACAGTGGAGGGTGCACCTACCTTTACTCAGCATTTCGATGCTTGTGTCGAGGGGCTGGAAGTGTTGGTTGGCAAAACCACACTTGTGGAGATTTTTTATCTCGCGGATATCCATCGTGTGGATCTCATTCTTGGGATGCCATGGTTGGTGAAGGTGGATCCAAAGATAAAGTGGAGCATTAAGTGTATCTCGTTGGAGTATGGTAGCGTTAAAGATGTGTGGTTTGGCGAGGGCATTCAACCACTAGTTGTTATGCTCTCTACTACATCTTTAAAGCGGGCTTGTCGTAATGGAAAAGCACTTTTGAGTTACTTGCTGTTTGTTCGTGACTTGGGCGACCAAGGCACGTGTGGGGGAGAAGCAACAGTATGGGATGTACTAGACGAGTTTTTTGATGTTTTTCCACATGAACTTCTGCATGGGTTGCCTCCATTACGAGGTGTGAAGTATGGGATTACATTGGAGCTGGGGACACGGCCCATTTACCGGCGTCCATTCCAGTTAAGTTATGCGGAGGAGCAAGAAGTTCAATGACAAGCCAAGGAGTTACTTGAGTTTGGATTTATTCAGCCAAGTAAGTCTCTGTTTGGTGCTCCGATCTTGCTTGTGAAGAAGAAGGACGGTTCAATGTGAATGTGTATTGACTACTGCGCTTTGAACAAGAAGACAGTGAAGGATAAGATGCCGATGCCATGTGTGGATGATATCCTGGACAAGTTTGGTGAAGCACGAGTGTTTACCAAGATTGATATAAGGAGTGGATATCATTAGATTGCAATAGATGATGCATCTATTTCTAAGACGGCATTCAACACAAGCTTCGGACATTTTGAGTTTACAGTTATGCCGTTTGGTTTGATGAATGCACCTGCCACATTTACTCGGTTGATGACGGAAGTATTTGGGCGTTATCTTCATGAGTTTGTGGAGATTTTCTTGGATGATATTATTGTTTTTAGCAAGAATATGGAGGAGCATAGGGTGCATTTGCGCAAGGTTCTTTTGCTACTTCGAGACAACAAACTTTATGCGAAGAAGAGCAAATGTGAATTTGCAAAGTCGGAGGTGGAATATCTAGGCCATATTGTGACATCTAAGGGTGTCAAAACGGATCCAAGGAAGGTGGCTGTAGTGGAAAACTGACCTACACTGACTACAGTGGCCGAGTTGCACAGTTTTCTTGGTATGGCTAATTACTACTGACATTTCCAGCATAAGTTTGCAGAGGTGGCTATTCCTTTGACGCAGTTATTACGCAAGTAGGTGCAATTCGAGTGGAAGAAGCCACAAGAGGAGAGTTTTGTGGCACTGAAACGATTGTTGAGCGAGACTCCAGTGCTTCGCATTGCTGATCCATCGAAACCTTACGAGGTGACATGCGATGCGAGTAGTTATGCATTGGGAGGAGTTCTCA